TGTTGACAAGTGATAATAAATCAAAGGCCTTTAAAGAACATAATCACTCCTACTGTTTAAATGTGGTTTCTTCGGATGGAGTTTTGTTGAATTACTATACCCTTCCACTCAATAGTTTTTTATCTCTTCCTTGGCATAATGAGATTAGGCAAAATTATTATACGCCGGGGTACTCAGATATCGCTAGCCCCATCATTGTTTAGCGTATAAAAGCATAAATATTAAGAAACAACTATTTAAATAACCAAAAATGTGCCCGATAATTAAAAAAACAAACACAACCAATACGAAACAAGATCAGCGCAAACTGTACCTGTGAATAGGCTACAAACCGATATCCACTCTATATCGAAATTTAGAGAATAAAATAAACTATGAAAGATAGGCTTTCCCGCATTTTTTAAACTCAAAATAAGTTCTCATGCTTTTGAACAGATATTTTAGTAAGATAAGTTGACAAGTAGTTGCATGTTGCTTCAAAACTAAATTGGATTAAAAATTAAGCTAACGAAAACTATGACTACAAATAAACTAATGTACTTAAAAATAAACTAAAAACTAATCTAAAACTAAAAGAACTCACAGGAACCCAAATGTTTCCGAGCCTTGCAGTTCAGTAATAAGCATAACTACGCCTAATTAATTACCCATAGTAGGTATACAGGGTGTCCCAAAAATGTATAAACATTTTAAATGATTGTAAGCTTGATGTTTATTATAATTTCATTATTTCAAAAATAAAAAGAATATTTAGAAGTATCATTTTATATTTTTTTCACTGCATTTTGAATATTGCAACGGTGGCTGAATTGAGAGAAACCATTGAACAAGAATGCACCCAAATACCAAGGGAATTATTTCATGATGTGTGCGATTCTATCGCTTCCCGTTGTCAGCAGTGTCATGATCAAAATGGACTTCATTTTGAAACCATTCGAAGGAAATCGGCATATGAGAATGTGACCTGAGATTCAATTTTAGAAACAATAGTATGGAAGGCAAAAATACTTACTACTTCAGAAGACAGATTCACTAATTTGAAGGACTCTTGTAATAAGAATGAAAAAAATATTTTTGTCGCATCGGTAGATCCGTGCACGGACGATCATAAAGAAAAAATCCCATCATTATGAGCGCAATCTACTGAACAGTTTTTAATTTATTTCTGTTACAGGTTAATACAGCAAAGCGGTGCAAGTAAACCGGCGCTCTAGTCGGTTGCAAGCGAGGATAATACGCGCTTTTAAGTAGCATATTAGTTATAGGTTTTGGTATCGTATAGTTAACCTCCCAATGACTGCTTTTTTAATGCCAAGAGTTCGCGGTCCCGTTTTCACCCCGAAAATTATGCATTTGAAGAGACTCAAAAATAGCTCACTTATTGGCTGTCGTTTTTCTCTGTTTGTCTATTGTTGCATTTTTTGGATTTTATACAAAACGCCTATTCTCCTTGACCTACTGTGCAAGTTTGAGTAGGAATTGTATTCTTACAACACATTTACTTAAATTATATGTCTACTTTCTCATAGCAAGTAGCAGGTTATGTTTAATCTATTATTACCAATTTGTATACCAAGGTTCC